GCCTCTCAACAGGAATTCAAAGAAGAATTATCGCCAAATGGAAATGGAGAGGAATCTACTACTGCCATGTCATGTCACATATTTGGTGGAGGGCCTGTTCAGCACGGTTGATGAGGTACTCTCAAAGAAACGTGGTTTGTTGAAGATAATGTGCGGAGTGATCTACGACTGAAATTTACGTCATCACCCGGGCATACAACAAATCGTTAAAAATTCATTCGGCCCAAGGATCTGATTGAACTATCAATGTGGAGTATAATTTTATATCTATTCATGGTTAATCGTTAAATATTCGAGTGAAATAGGTTTCAAAATATCTGATTTATTTTTGAGACAAATAGATTTGGAAAAACTCTTAAGAGGAGGAATGATCGTCACGTATATTAAATTTTCACGGAGGAAAGCTATTGTTTACATACGAATAATACTTCAATATACAAATAACGCATTAGCCATGTCTTTGTATAACAGTTAAATGTTACCCCAATTATGAAATTAAATCGCCGGCAACGCATTTTTCGTTGATAAGACAAAACAGATAATAAATCATAGTGTTTTTACGATATGATACGAAGAGCAATCAACAATAAAGTTATTTTCATTTTAACAGTCTTTATCTTAATACATTCTCCAATACACTATATTTTTGATTTTCCAAAATTCTTCATCTGCATACTCAATATGGATTATCAATAAAGTGTGTAATTCCGAAGACGCCGTCTTGATAAGTAAGCCCAAGAAACAAGAAATAGCATTATCGAGTTTTAAAGTTTTTAAACAAATGAGATGTTTTGAAGGATGGAAGGTAGGTCAATGCATTATCATCCACACGTTCATAGCTGAAATCAACTGTATCCTGGTGATAACCATGAAATTTTGATTCATGCTGACAAAATGATAAATGAATAGTGTTAATAAACAGAAAAAAACATAAAAAAATCACTGTACCAAAACCCCATTGAAACGTATGAGACATCATGCAGGTGTTTCTGCAGCTGAAAGAATATGTATGTGTAAGCTTACCTCAGACATTCCTTGATTCTTAATCAAGCAGATAAATTCACTTCACAAATTTCTTTAAAAAGTGATGGATAGGTTTTCCTCTCGGAAATTAGCACTTGATGAAACATTTCTTGGATTTCATCGCACGTGGCAATTACATTGCAACGCAATGACAAAATATTGGAGATTATTTTTATTGTTTGAGCAATATGCTTCACAGAATTCAACTGCCCACTGAATTGATACGCTCCATTAGGCAATCCTCTGCAGTTTCCGTAAAGATGAAAATGTTGCAGAGCGCTAGCAGAACTTTCACGGTAGACTGTTTGGACATGCTGGTTGAGTTTTGTAAGTTTTCCTGACTCTTCAAATTAGGGGGATTAACAGTACAATGAGTGTGAAAAATGAAGCACAAGCAATAATACAAGATGGTATACCTCAGTTTTAAACCAACTACATTAGTATTATTATATAAAGCATAGAATATGTGTAAACCTGTTCCCCAAGTATGTTGATATGCAGAAGATTATCGTCTATCAAATTAAATAATATGAATATATGGATATAACCACGAGTATTTCCCATAATATTATATAACGGCTACGCAGGTGAGACGTAACCCCAGATAGATGAGAAACTTACACCAGGGCCAGCTGTATGTGAAAAAATCGATTCGTTGGTTCAAAGGATGAAGCCAAAACCTTGAATCCAATAATATACAATATAACTGAACATAACATACTCACCCGTGTCTATATACGAGACATGGGGTGCCAAGCAAGACTTCGGCAACCACTAAATTGATTGTATCCACAGGAGTCTTAAACGATTCAATGCCTCTTTTTGTGAGTTCTTGATTATGAGAAGAAAACTTTATTTTGTTCAAGTACTAGTTACCATCGGGGGTTTGGATGAGGTTTAAAAATCCGACAGGTAGCTGGAATAAGATCAACCGATAATAGTTCTAATTTGTACCATTTTCTGGAAGGGGTAATGGACAGGTCCCTTTTAGCTTGTAACACTTGTTCCAAACCGGGATATTTTTTGCATTTTACTTTTCGCCCACTAAAGACTACGAGCAGCAGGATGTAAAACTCCATTTTGTTGATTTCAATTATCACCTCATGTCGTTTCGACAGTTTAAAGAATACCATCACTCCCGTATAACCTTTGACATTTGTTGTACTTATAGAAATAAGTTTTAACTACAATCTATGTCATTAATTATGGCGCAGTGAATTCATTAGTTAAGGGCATTCGGTGCATTGTGTAGCAAATAGGTAAAGTCCGTATTATTGTCTCGTAGAAATGGAAATTAATGTCTTTACACGGTGTACAAGTTACGACAGACCACAGTTATTTTAGATGTCGTGGGTGAGAAAATGTGGTTAACCTTAAAGATTGGTTTACATGTTACTGTTTGATTGAATCGTGGTAAAAGTACAACTACACTAATTCGGGATATAAAACCCTAATTTTCTGATTTCTTATTAGAGAGCAAGTAAACAAGTACAGATTCACTTTGATCTGTTGTTTTTTTCCCCGACAATTCATAGAAAACTTCTAAAATCTAAAGACCATAATGAAATAGAGGAAACATTAGAATGTTACTTACTAATAAAGAAATTAAATTATCGATCTCAAGTGATTGAGGCTGTAGTTTAATTGATCATTGAGAGATAAATCAAAGAGCTTTGAAAGGAATAGTCAAACCAAAGTACTGATCTGACAACAGTCTGAACAGAAACACAAAAAGTTCATAGAACTTTACAATAACACATTAAAACCGCAAATATATAAAACATGGGTGCTATATACCTTTAAGAGCAATTATAATAAATAGGATTGTACTACCCAATAAAATAATTACCAGAAGGGCCCTTAGAGTCTAGGCCATAGCTATATTTATTATTATAAATTCGACCACCCACCATAATAAATCGTACCTGGTACTCAATAATCATATGGATTGTCCAACGGAAATTACCTGTTGCATTTTTTCATTTCGTGTAAAACGGCATACACCAGTATGCACCTTTGTACCTTGGGTTTCTGAAATTTCACGACAGATATTACATGACTGAGACCAACGACATGAAGTTACATTTCCATAGTCATCAAATGCTTTCAGTGGCGTATTCAGTATTTATTGTTTTCAGGATAAGGGTAGGGTATTTTCGGACCCTCAGCATTGAAGCCTACTAAAATACCACAACTTAATTCATCAATCTTAGTTGGACAAACAAAAATATATGAGGTTACGTCCCAAAATATATTTATGACCACAAGTGTAAGTCTGAATAATACCCTGGAGTGTGATTTCCTTGTAAATGTTATTTGTATGAAGTATGTGGTGAAAGAATGCTATCTTAATCAAACACTGAAATTCGTCATTGGGGGTATAAATCTTTATTTATCATTATAGGTCCTTAGTATAAATTATAATTGTTACATTTTCATGTGGTGAGTATTCTTATACGTGACAAAAATTAAGTCTCCTTGTTTTGGTTGACCAAGTTGATTATCACACACTCATACAGAACTCCATGTGCGTTTTCCAATTAACAGTGTATGCCCATTTCAAATAGAAACTGTAGGTTTGGCCTTGAATATCATCAGTCCCCAGTCACGACGTGCGTATTTCAATCAGATGAAAGTCCGAAAGTCCCCCCTATCATTTAACGATGCATATCGTAGGTGGCCGCTTGAAACCTCGAAGGTTTATGACGCGAAATTACTTTTCAAGAAAAAAGCAAAAAACTATTTGTACGCGTATTTTGTTAAAAACGTGGTTTTCATTCGTTGAAAATGTAAACCTCGTATAGCAGAAAAAAAAACATTGAACCTCGTATAGTATAATATTTTACGAGGTTTTAAATCTGACTGTTTACATATACATGTTTTTAACTTAATGTCTTTTTTTTGTTATTTACAATCAAGCTAAGAATTAGAGTTTTTGATCACAAGATCCTCGCTTTTACGAACTTTCGAACTGTACCAAAAAGTCAAAATGACCAAATATGGCATATACGATCACCCACGATATAATGTAAAAAAAGAACAACAGAGACGTTGATTATCTGGGAACTTGGTTGATCCATTGCAAAACTTGAACTTCAATATATTCATAGCTTCTGTTTGTTGTCAATATTTTCGAAAATGTTTTCATTCTCACACAATTCAGACAATGTATGAAAAATGTCTTTTATCAAACACCCGGGCTATAATCTCCTGTATTGTTCAAGCAGAAGCCAACAGCAGAATAGAGCAATATTCGAATGTCAATTTGAAAAAAAAGTGCTGATTAAGTCATGTGTTTAAATTCGGAAATTTCCTGTAATGTGAGCTGGAGATCATCACTATTGCTAACAGGGAAATTGTTTGTTTTGGTGATTCACATCCTCTCTTAACCATTTTATCGGTGAGACAACAATTGATGAATTATCTTTCTATCAAGATGGCCACTCATGATTGATACAGGTGACGTGTTGGAGTATCTGATGATTTGCCTGTTATCGGAATACCTCCATCTGACATGGAGCTTCTGGTAATTGTATCAATTGTTATTCAATGATAACAATTGATAAAAGGGCGCCAAAGCATGATCGTTTGGCTTTGACGGTAAATAGTTGTGGTAGTGTCTATGTGACCAGTGGATTAGGTTGATAAGATTAATTAAACATCTGTAACAGTTTAATATCAGTTTTAGTATTGAATTGATAAAAATATTAAAGATATCTACTCCTGACTGGTATCAACTGAATTAGCACAAAGATAATATAAACTTTCCGTACATCCGATATTTCGATATCAACTATTTGTAACAGGTTTGAAATTTAGAGTGTGACAGTAAACGATAGAAAGACAGTAAGCAATCGTCAATATACTAAATGCGCAACTAAGAATTTTCGAAATCCAAATCCCTTTATTCGGAAGCTACAAAGACGATTTTAGTTAATTCCATGACAAATATTTTTTCACACAGAAATGTAGGAAAAATGTTGTTTCGACCTGCCAAAATTCGCACCAATAGGTTTAGTACGAAAGACCATTGTTTAGCTCTTGTTTTGGCACTGCACTCATCGCAGTTGGTGTAGGTCAATACCAAGAGTTAGCTATCACATCTTAATGGTTTTACATGTTTAAATTGACCATTTACCTTTTAAAATATTAAATTAAAAGAATCGTTTAGATATTAGCTTGGTGGTTTCACTAACATAAGCAAACACGTACCGATAAAACCAATATCGTCTGTATTCCCATTAAGTGCATTTTTGAAGACTTTTGGGACAATCGGACGTTTTATAATCAGATTATATTCTGACACAGATTGCTGAGTTAATCTATGAACCGATTGTAACAATCTAATACTACTACATCCCTTTAAGACTATAATTGAATCGCCTGCTAGTCGGAAACATTGATCTTATTACACCGAGTACAGAAATGTTATTCCCAATTGATAAGGAATGAAAGCTACTGGTTATGACTTCACTAAAAGTTACGTGATTACGAACAGCGCAACCAATTGTGACTCATGAGTGTAATCTATATCAATTTCAATTCCCATTTGGAGAAATTAATACCATTATAAACAATTGTGTCGATGGAATTTAAAAATTGAAGAAAACAAATTTTGAATCATAACGAGTGAGAACATACAGTGAGCGATAATAGGACAAAACAAGTAGGCGATTGGATTGTCTGAGAATTATACTAAAATAAAAATGAATCAGACAGAACAAAAAATGGTTAAGATAACTTTTAAACAAACAGGAACTGTTTTAAATGAAATAAAAGACAATAAATTGTTAACATTCAGGGCAAATAAAACATGCAGCCCAGATGTCAGAACAATCCTAGAATAAGAGGTTTGTAGAATAAAGAAGCTGTGAAATAGTATTCAGGATCTTAAGGAAAATAAATACTATAGACGTGTATAGCCTATGGATAACTGATAGGCGACGTTCTAAATGATAAGCACGTGTAGATTTTGCAATACCTTCAGGAGTGGTAATACCTTCTTTTAAAAAAATCTTGAATGGTGCTGGTGATAAGTTTGAAATATAAACATTACATTTCAGTTCACTAAGTAATAAGAGATAAAGTCGTTTAATAAAGAATGACAACATAGCTTCAGGCCCGTCCGTCCAGCAAGTGCGATCAACTGGGTATTAAGAATGTGGAAGTTCATAGACACTAAAAATAGTGTGGAGGTGATATAGTAAGTACTATAAATGTAATAAATATTAAGTCTTCTTGTCATCACTTCTGTCATCAAAGATAATGGGGTGTGGGTAGGTTCTGAAAAGATACAAATCTATGTATATACTTATTTAACCAGCTATTATAAAAGGTAAGTGAGTGTTAAGAGTGAAGAAGTTGCTAAAAACTTCTATGTAAAGCATTGACCAAGGTCACAAATAAAGAGATAAATGTTCAATACAAGATAAGGTGAAGTTAGCATAGTTAGTATTAAGTTAAAAAAAAAAAAAAAAAAAAAACAACCACGAGTAATCTACAATAAACAAAAGTCTATAATATGAAAGTTTTGAGTGAAAGGGAGCACTGGATGATCAATACCCACAATCAATTCGACGACACGAATAGACGTGAGTAACTTGATTTAACTGAATCAGAGATTGATCAGATTATCTCATACAGATGCCGCCAGTTACGGTAAATCGTTGAAAATCCAATTGCTCCTAAATGCAAGGCTCAACTAAATGAGTGAGGGCCCCATGGAAGCCGGTTAGGCCCCTCCCGGGGAATTATTTGTTAGATAATGCTCTCCTGTGTTATGATACCCCCTGTCAATTTCAGTCTGTTTTTACAGGGTGTGGGGACCCCTTTAGGGCCGGATGTCCGTGGACATGGTTCAATCAGTTATTATGGTAGTTGAGTCACTGCGCAGATTATACTTGTCACAAGGCCTACCAGAGTCTCAAAAAATCATACGAATTGTACGAATTGTACGATGTTTTAATTCTGAAAAGCGTTAATCTAAGCTGAATCTCAATGGATTGCTAAAACATAAAATTAGAAGATATTGAAATTATATCCTGTTGAAGCGTCGGTTTATCCAATTCTCGACAAAGTATTATTAAAGCTTGAAAGTTGGTAGAGGCCGCAGTAGAAAGTGTCGGTTGGACGCAAATGCTGCCTGAAGTAATACTTTACTAGTTTAATTTAAAGATCTGTATTATGTAGATAATCGAATTTTAAGGAATCGACTTTATATATTTTCTGGTATCTTTAGAGTTTTCAAGATTAAAATCACGGCTTATTGACAGTATGATAATCTACCTAAAGATGGACGAAACTGGACTATTGCCTTACATATTTTTGATCAAGTGTGTACAATATTGTAAGATTAAGTGCTATACGAAATTCAGTTTAAATTATTTATAAGCAAGTCAGGAACTATTTCTTTCTAGTGAAGGGACGCAACTCTAACGAATGAAGATACTTTTTATCAGGTGCAGTGATCTGTAATTTGCAACCTATAGGTTTAATTAAAGGCTATGGAATTTACTGATCTTTCCTTATTGATTTAGGCTGTTGGGACAGAGATAGTGTCATGCAGTGTATGAAGGGAGAGGACAAAACGTCTACCCGTGTTTAAATGATGTTTATAAGAGTCTGCCTAAAAAAATTCTGACAACCGATCAATTCTATTACTGCCATTAAAATCCGTACACCATTTCCCCCCTCCCTTCCCCGATCTATAACTTTCCCCCACTACCGGCTAGTCCGAAACATCTGCCTCTATTCCAGCCTCTGAAGGATATTTATGATTAGAGGCCTTGTTTAAATAGAGATTTTTCACCTCCGAAGATTCGTTTCAACCTCGTTTCATAGTTTCATAGTTGGATACGCTTTAGTACAGAAAATATTTACTGGGTACGATTTGTACAAAATCGTCTTGATTAACAAGTCTTTCTATTAGATTTGATTATCATGTCTCAAATGAATCGACCAATCAAAACGCTAAATTTTGACACAGATTATGCAGTTGACCTCTATTGGCTGAGGGATAATGAATGTCATCACTGGCTATGAAAGTAAAAGAATTAATGTAATATAGGTCAACACGAGTATATCTGTATATTTTTTATAAGGCTTAATCAGATAACTCAACAATCATTGAGAGTACTTGTCAGTGCTTGTGATAATATTATATTATCTTGACCAGTTTACTCTGGAAACAGGTACCGGTACGGAACATTATATAAGAACACCATTATACTCATGACACAGACATTTGGTAAGGGAAATTTACCAAAGTTTTGTCTCTTGAGCTGAATTTTCGATATTTGTTAGTCGGCCTACATTGAATTTTCGGATTCTAAGAGTGCTACAAAGTGTAGAAAATGGCATTCATCACCTGTCAAAGACTAAGGAGTGCTGCAAAACTTTATTTCAATGCATCCAGATATTATTCTAGTTCTTACCAAACATATGATGCAGTCAATGAACCATTATTAGATTATGCACCAGGCAGTAAAGAAAGGAAAGAGTTGGAAGGGGTACTTGAGAAATACAATAACCAAGTTGCTGATATTCCTATAGTAGTGGGTGACAAGGAGATTAAAGATGGGAAGGAATTGTTTCAAGTATCACCTCATGATCATCAGCATAAAGTTGCCAAGTACAGACATGCCAGCAAGGATATCATAAAACAAGCAATTGAATCCAACTTAAAAGCCAGAAAGGAATGGGAGAGGACACCCATAGAAAAGAGGGCCGATATATTTTTAAAAGCAGCTGATTTAATGGCAGGAAAGTACAGAGCTGATCTTTTAGCAACAACTATGATCGGTCAGTCTAAAAATATCTGGCAAGCTGAAATTGATGCAGCATGTGAACTGATTGACTTTTTGAGATTTAATATTACCTTTTCTCGATTGGTGACAGAATATCAACCAATTAGTCCTGATAAAGGCATCAAAAACTCTTCTGTTTACAGAGGCATGGAGGGTTTCTGGGCAGCTGTTACACCTTTCAATTTCACAGCCATTGGTGGACATCTACCTTCAGCCCCTGCTATGATGGGAAATGTGGCGTTATGGAAACCATCTGATACAGCCATGCTTTCAAATTATACAGTTTTCAAAATATATAGAGAAGCTGGTTTACCTGCTGGAGTGATCAACTTTGTACCAGCTGATGGACCAACTTTTGGTGATACAGTTGTGTCTTCCCCAGATCTTGCTGGTATTAATTTTACTGGTAGTGTAAAGACATTCAAACATTTGTGGAAACAAGTAGCAAATAATTTAGACAATTTCAGATCCTATCCTAGGATGATTGGTGAATGTGGAGGGAAAAATTTCCATTTTATTCATCCATCAGCTGATGTTGAATCAGTTGTAAATGGTACAATCAGAGGTGCCTTTGAATTCAATGGTCAGAAGTGTTCAGCCACTTCTAGGATGTATGTTCCAGAATCATTATGGCCAAAGATTAAAGATGGTTTATTAAGTATCCATAAAGAGATTAAAACTGGTTCACCCTTACAGAAAGAGAATTTTGTCACTGCAGTAATTGATGATAAAGCCTTTGCTAGAATTGAAAGTTATCTTAACCATGCCAAGAATTCTCCCAACACCACAATATTAGCAGGTGGTACTTGTGACCAGTCTGAAGGTTATTTTGTACAACCCACTATTATTCAAACCACTGATCCCAATGATAAATTGATGAAAGAGGAAATATTTGGTCCAGTTTTAACCATGTATATCTATCCAGATAATAAATGTATGGAAACAGCAGATTTGGTTACCAAGACATCTCCATTTGCATTGACTGGGTCTATTTTTGTAAAGGATCAGAAAGCTAGAGAGGTTCTCATTGATAAATTCAGGGAGAATGCAGGTAATTTCTATATTAATGATAAGTCAACCGGGTCTGTGGTGGCTCAGCAACCATTCGGTGGAACGAGAATGTCTGGTACAAATGAAAAGGCTGGTGGTCCTCACTATTTATTGAAGTTTGTTTCTGTACAGGCAGTGAAAGAAACATCAGTTCCTCTTTCTGCCTGGAAGTACCCTTCTATGGAAGAATAAACTTTTGAAATTAAGGAAATTTATATAATATATGATATATAGTATTATTTTATACATTGAATATATTTTAATATGAGGAATGTCAATTGAAGATCTGATTCTTGTTTTAGTTTGATTTATTTTAGATGACTTGTTATAGTACATTTGATTTAAAATCTGCATTTAGTAGATAGTACGGTATTTTGTTTTGTTTTGTTTTTTTGAGATTTAACATAGTTTTTGGAGATTTTATGTCTATGATAATGTTAAACATTTTGAGATTATCTATGTTATTTTACATTGCTTTTGTATTATTTTATTTAACCACGAGTTTTGTTAGAAATGAATAATTGATGTTGGTTGTTTCCATGGTCAGAATTATTAAGTTAGACATTTATGATGTTCAAAAAGTGAAAATTGATGCTTAGAATTATGTGTGTTCATTGATGAGTTTTGTATATTTCTGTGTATAATGCACACTTTTTTTTTACCCTAAAAACGACTTGTTTTAAGACATCAAGTTTCTGAAGTAACACTCTGTGATAATTCTGACCTTCTATTTTGTGTTTAAGAAACTTAGTTAGTTTTATTGTTTTAATTCAAACCACTAATAATGAAAACCAAATTAACATGAAACATATCAGCTTGTTTTCTTTGCAGTTTTGTTTTATCAGTAAGTTATGTGTACCTGTATCTAGTATGTCTATGGTTATTATAAATATACTGATACAGGCAATTATAATATTTACATAAATCATGATAAGTACATGACTCTGAATTTATAATAATGTTAATTATTTCAAACTCATTTCCACTGCATATTGTTAATGACAAGAGTTAAATGTAAAAGATTTTATAATATAAATGACTATCATGAGAATATACTATAATCATCTTCTAAGTGCTTAAGGTAGAAATAGATCAAACTATTCTGAATTAAAGTGTCTATTTAATAACAAAAATCAAAAAATCTTGAATTAAAGTGCAAATTTTCTTAATATCATGGAATTTATCCGGTTTGAACAAATATCAATATGATAAAAATCTAAGACCTCATAGTTATTTTTTATGGTTAACTTTTCATTTATATAGCATAAGGAGATATTTGTTTGTTTTTAACTATTTGGTTATATTATAAAAATTTTGTTAGATGAATTATAATAAAATATACCTCCCTATATTTCTTTTGAAAACAGATAAACCAATGTATTTTTCAATGATATCAATTGCGAAATGATATCCGTTGTGTTCTTGATATATTTCATGCTGATGTTTTCGCGTGCCCAATAGTAACGTGGATTGTGAAAGGTTCCTACACTAAATGAGTATTTGAAATCTTCAGTTGCAAAATGAAACGGTCGTTGTGAGACATAACTAAAAGACTTAATATAAACCAAATACCGGTGAGCATTGTGTAATTTACGAGTTAAACAATTAAAAGTGGTCTGTATGCTCTAAATAAGAGTTATCTCCCATTGATTACGTCGCAAAATTGCTTTGCCATACGAAGCTAATGAATGTGGCCCGAAGTTATATTTTTAAAGATGGTCCTATGTCCCCTATATTGTGGTGAATTTTTCTGGGGCGCAATGTTTTTGGTGATTATTCACACGATTTAATAAGCTTTTCTTGTATTTAACGTAGTCCCCGCGGAAGTTGAGCAAGGTAAAACTAAACCCATATGTGATATACTATGTATCCATTAAAAATATTATGATCTATATAATCAAACTATCTTAATTAAATTGGCAACTTCGGTAGAAAATTCTCTGAAATAGTTGAAATTATGTATATGCAGAAATTTTCATCAAGCTGTAATGAGGAATTCGCTTTTAGTAATGTATAAAGTGGTAGGCCGTGTGGAAGTAATATTATATATTATGGACCTCTGAAAATATCCAACTGCAGTACATGTAAGCCCATCTTCCGATCACTAACTTAGATAAGATTTTATGTTCGTGTGAATGGTTAATGTATCAAGCTCAGCGCCCTGTGAACTTTACATCAGTATTAATATTTTATATGTCTCTGATTAAACAAGCTGATTAGCTTCACTTCAATAAGTAGTACTGTAATGGCGCAACATACAGAAATATAACAACTCGGAGCATGAATTATTGGGGCAAAAACTTCCTTGGGCATCAAAAGCTTTTTATTGCACTTCACCATTTAAATGCTTGCATGGTATCAGTCGTCTTTATGTTTGTAGGGCTGTATTTTCCTTCAAGTGTAACAACTGCAGCTCACGCGTCTATTAAAACAAGCCATTGTAATAAGAAGCCCTAGGGGTTTTACACTCGACAATTTCATCTCAATACAATGATCACAAATTAAATTGACATGCCAATTGTACATGTGTGTTTCCATGGTAACACAGTTATTGCCCGAGACCTTATGTTTGTACAAAGTAAACTGTTTATGGTCCATTTTGTTTGAATTATCCCCTATATTCTAATTAAGAAGCAATGTCGACAAATGGGTGTTATTAGATGGAATACTGCTTTCTTTGCTACATTAAATTGAAGCATAAAATTTCAATTAATGTCTTAAATTTTGCAGCTGAAGGAAACCAATATTGCGTCCTCTCCATCTTAAAATTGGGATTAAACTTCCCTGCGTAGAAGCTCTTGTTTGCCGTCTTGTTTTGAGATGTTCAGCAGAAAGGATCTAAGTACAACAGGAGCGGATATATTGTTTCAAATGCAGATTTCCTGTATATCGTGTCTGTAAGAAAATTTCAAATAATTCTCATTTACTGCACCTTGATAACCAAATGAATGCCACGAATCTTATTATGAAGATCAAAGAAAATTATTATCATGGATAAAAGTCTTAAAATTAACAATCAATCCGTACACTTGACTGGAATATCCATTGCATTCAAAGGGAAATGTAAAATCTAATGACTGTTTTTTTACAACAGATAACGAATTCTAATGTTAGGGAATGCAGACACGCCATACTACAAAATAATTATACCATTAAGATTAGGTGATACAGTTAGTCTCATAGATATTCTCACAATCATCAACAGAATTCCTCGATGCCTGATCTGAAAAATTAGAATGGAATTAAGAGTCTGACGATATCAATCCAATTTCTATTTAGATTAAGTGTTTATAAACATCGAGTTCTGTTTAGATTGGCACTGTTGTGGAAGTTGAAGTTGGCAAGCAGAACGCTGTAAGAATTGATTGGAATTCGAGTGATATGAGTAAGATTACTGACTGGATCTCATCAAACAGTTCTAAGTAAGCTTATAAAGGATATTGATAACACTGAAATCTGAACACAGTTGGTTAATATCAATACTGTAATCTTTACAAACTGACTAAAGTGTACACTCCTTTCCTTGTTGCAATATCTACTCGCAAAGAACCAAACAAGTACCTTATATACTGTCTTTTTCTACTTTTCAAATGAGAAATATACCAATGGGATCTAGGATTGGCTTTGGCATGCACGTAATGTTTTCCATACGGAACGATGCTGCTACCAGATCTAAATCAATTTTAGTACAACGTCGCCATGATCTGTAATCTTACTACCCTACCACGATCTGTTATCTCTTTATCTCACCACGATCTGCCATCTCTCTTCTTCATCATGATGTTATCTCTTTATCTCACCACGATCTGCCATCTCTCTTCTTCATCATGATGTTATCTCTTTATCTCACCACGATCTGCCATCTCTCTTCTTCACCATGATCTGTTAAGTCTCTACTCCACCACGATCTGCCATCTCTCTACTCCACAATGATCTATTATCTCTCTACTCCACCATGATCTGTTATCTCTCTACTCCACCATGATCTGTTAACTCTCTATTTCACCATGATCTGTTATCTCTTAACTTCTCCATGATCTCTAGTTTACTTTGATTTATTTTCTCTCCTTCACCATAATCTGTTATCTCTCAACTTTTCCATGATCTCTTACCTTTCAACATCTCCATGATCTGTTATCTCTCAACTTCTCCATGATCTGTTAGCTCTCTACTTTGCTTTGATTTATTTTATCTACTTCATCATGATCTAATATCTCTACTTCACCATGATCTGTTATCTCTCTACTTCACCATGATCTAATATCTCACTACTTCACCATGATCTAATATCTCTCTGCTTCACTATGATCTAATATTTCTCTGCTTCACCATGATCTGTTATCTCTCTGCTTCACCATGATTCCACATTTCTGTACGTACCATCATTTGTAATATTTGTTCTTCCTCTTAGCATAAATGATTTCCTGACAAAGCTGTGAATCACGATCTCGTGAATGCATCTTTGAAATTAAATTCCGATATAAGGAAATTGTAAGAAATTAAAAATTTAGACCTGAAAGCAACATGTAGGCCTACTCTATTCAAGCTATCATAGGTTCTGTTTCAGAAGTATCTGAAACTCCTTGAAAAACGAATTGAAAAAATTATCTCGATGTCTCAAGATAATTATTAGTGTGATTTGATATATGTTTTTAAAGATATATTGAAGTTCGTCTCGGATAGTTCATTAAGTATAAAAAGGCTTCCATCGTAAATTGATAAAAAGAGGTTTTATCGATTTGTTGAGCCTTTTTACCGCAGGCTAATCTGACAGACGACAAAAGAAAGTCGATAATTTAACGACTGCTTCACGAGGTTATTAAACGTTAACAACCATAGATCAAAGTTAAGTTTTATTTACTTATTTACTTTGTTCTTTAAGAAATTGTGTACTATACACTTTAAGACAGAAATATACATTATACTGCGAGAAATGTTAAAATAGAATTTGTTTTACTTCATATTCCCAAATTTCTTCCTAATATCGTCTTTTTTCATATGTTAAAATGGATCTTTTCAGATAAAATATGTCTAATTATCGCCCTTTGGCTTTGAAAAGTAATGAGGTCATGTGACTCAAGAGGAGGAAATCATAATATACCTAAGGATATATGGCATTTTTCCTATAACGGTATACCGTTGCGATATTATAGTGACGATATTTCGTGATGTTTCTAAATCACAATATTTGA